CTGGGCATTTGCCAAAAACACCCGGAACCTCGGTAAAAATTATGATGACGCAATAAAATATATGCAATTACTTTCCCGTCCAATGAGCAGAAAACAAGTAATTAGGGTTTTTAAAACCTTTCAGTTGGTGGGAAGTAGATTTTGATTAACTTGCCGATGCACCTTTACATATACTGTGAAACAAAGTAAGGCTGCTTCCAGTGTTCTTTTAGTGCATGATGTTTAACATTGAAAATAAACATTGTCATTGGGACAATACGATTATTTTTGTGACCTAAATATGGTTGAAATGAATTCTTAATTCATGATTAGCGTTAGCTAGTTAAGTGTTCTTTTTTGTCCTGTGTGGTTGTTCTTTGAAAATATGAAAATTTGATCTCTGCCAAGATTGTTTTTTAATTTATGTAACATCAACCTTTGACCAGACATAGTGCATGGTGATTTTTAAGATTATAAATTATATTTACTTGTTTCCATTGAGTTATGTAGCTTAACACTTGTGAAAGTTTGGCAGAAACAAGAAATTGCGTGCAAGCACAAACACGACGCAAAAGTGTTTCCGAGCAATTTCAAGTTTCTCCAATACATTTAAAAGTGTTTATAAAACAAGTAAATATGTTTTCTATTTTGCGTATAAAATAACCTTTTAAAAATAAAACACAAGTTTATTGATTTTAATCGTAGTATTGCTGCCCATCGAAACGACGATGGCTGTCTGCAAAAGTCCATTTAGTTCACTGACTTCCACAAGCGCGCTCGTGACTTAACATGCCAATGCGGCTTGCGCAGGTCCTGTTGCAGTGTTGGCAACGAAATTCTCCCGAGTCTGCGACAGTGGAGGCGTTCCTGGTAGCGTGACGTCTTGATCGTTTTACAGCGTTGCTCCGCCGCTGATTTTAATCAACATGTTGATTATATTCTCGCCATTAAGATTTCCAGGCAAACCATGTTAAAACATTATTTTAATGTCACTGTAGGCATTAGGTTAAGAAATACTTTTACGTTTTCCCATCATTAATTGATACAAAATTTCTATTATCTTACTATAAATATTGTATTGAATTTAAAACTTAAACATTGAGGTCAGGGTTAGTTTTGTTAATGTGGAGTGCTTCTTTGATTTTTAGGAGAATGAGTTGTCGGCAGTGTCGATGATTTTGAAGCAAGAGGGTGAATAGTTGGTTTTACATGAGTGATATTTAAGAAGGAGTCGGTAGATATGAGAGTTTTGTCTGATGTGGTATGTTCCCTTATTCTGGTGGATAAATAGCGCGAAGTTTTGCTAATGTATCCGGAATTACATCCCGCGCAATTGAATTCATATACAACCATTGATTTAATTGCATCAGGGATTGGGTTTTAGAATGAAAAAGGTTTTGATTTTGAATGATGTGAAAATCAGTTGAATGTCAATATCTGTACAGAAGCGTTTCATAATGTTTGTAGGTTTGCGCTGTGTGTGTCGTGAGTAATGTCCGATGTATGGTAGTTTAAAGTATAAAGTTGTTATTTTGGAATGGTCATTCAGTATGAGTGCCATTAGTAGAGAGCTAAGATACTTAGCTAAATTATAATTGTATGCGTTAATTGATGAAACTATCGGTCGTAATGGAGGCGATTGCTGGTTCTCGTTTCTTGTGGAGTTTCTGCAAGCCATAGAAACGTGAGGGTTGAGAACCTCTGGAGAAGATTTCATTGTAAACTTCTGTTGTTGATCGAGTCTTTCTTTAGAAGCTTCCTTAACAGTAGTTGCAGTTTGGCTTCACATGATAGTGTGACGTCTTCTTTGAGTGGGGTAAACTTTGCTGTATTGTTAATGATTTCAAGGCAGGAGTTACGATACATTTGACGATCCATGATAACAACGCCGTTGTCTTTGTCCGGTTTAAGAATGATAATGTTTGGAATAATGCGAATGTTTTTAAGGATGCGATGTTTTTCGAAGTCAGCTGGTGTCGGATGATAAGATGAGATGTACGAGTGAGCGATGTGTGCCAGCACTGTTTTAGATGCGTCTAGTCTTCTTGATTGCGAATACTGTGTTTTATAGTTTGGTGGTTTTTTCGTATGTTGCCAGAATGTCGGCTGAATTGAATTGTAGAAGTTTAATGCTGAACCCAAGGCCATTTTTCAGGGGTTCTAGTTCTTCGTCCTTTCATTGGTGTGATAATATATTGGTTATCGTTTCGTTGTGTGAGAATGGTAGAGTTCTGTGTTAAGATATGAACATCGAACGAAAAGTCAAACAGCATAGCATTGCATGCATAATTAAGTAGATATGACACATGTCAGATTAAGTGATATTCTGAACTTGTTATCATAATATCGTTATTCGCCGATATTTAACTTGTTATTTGTTTCACAATAAAATCATAAATATTTCACGTGCAATCCGAATGTTATTGCCAAATCACGAATAATTTAACATATTGTTCTTGTGAGATTACTTTTTCCGATGTGTGGTAATTGTCTTTTGTAGGTATTTGGCTTTGTTTTTTTTATATAGCATAATTAACAAAATACCTAGAAAAGACAATTACCACACATCGGAAAAAACTAAGTAATCTTACGAGGAACAGAACTTTACCATTCACACACAACGAGACGATAACCAATCTATCATCACACCAATTAAAAGACGAAGAACTAGAACTCGTGAAAAATGGACTTGAGTTCAGCGTTAAACCACCACGACTCGACTCAACCGACATTCTGGCAACATACGAAAAATCCAACAAAGTATAAAACACAACATTCGCAATCAAGAAGACTACACGCATCTAAAACAGAGCTAGCACACATCGCTCCCTCAAACATCTCATCTTATCACCCGACACAAGCTGACTTCAAAAAACATCCTTTCCTTAAAAACATTCGCAACAATCCAAACATTATCATTCTAGAATCGGACAAAGACAATGGCGTTGTTATCATGGATCGTCAAATGTATCGTAACTCTTGCCTTAAAATCATTAACAATACAACATAGTTTACCCCACTCAAAGAAGACGTCACACTATCATGTGAAGCCAAACTGCAACGACAGTTAAGGAAGCTTCTAAAGAAAGACTTGATCAACAACAAAGTTTACAATGAAATCTTCTCCAGAGGTTCTCAACCCTCATGCTTCTATGGCTTGCCGAAACTCCACAAGAAACTAGAAGCAGAACAATCGCCTACACTACCACCGATAGTTTCATCAATTAACGCATACAATTATAATTTAGCTAAGTATCTTAGTTCTCTACTAACACCACTCATACCAGATGACCACTCCATTAATGATTCTTTCACTTTCATCGACGACTTCTCATCTTTCAACTCATCAACTTCTTGTCACAAATTCTTCATCTCCTACGACGTTGGAAGCTTATTTACTGACATACCACTTACTGAAGCCATCAACCTAGCAATTGACGTAATATTCACTCACAATCCCAGGTTCAGTATAAACCGGACAGACCTCACACAACTGTTTTTAATAGTAACAGCACAGACAAATTTTCTATTTAATGGAAATTTTATGACCAGACGGACGGTGTTGCGATGGGCTCTCCCTTAGCACTCATACTTGCTAACATTTTCATAGGCTCACTTGAACGAAACTTGCTAATTATTTATAACGACACTAAACCACGTTTTTACCGCAGAAACGCTGACGATATTTTTTGTGTTTTTACTAACGAAACTGGGGCCATGAAGTTTTATAATTGCATTAACTCACAGCACGCAAACATTAGATTTTCATTTCAAACTGAACAACAAGATCAACTGTCATTTCTTGATATTTTACTAACAAAATCCCATGACAGCTGTACAACATCTACATATCACAGACCAACGTCACAGGACTTCTGACGAACTATTTTAGTTTCACACCAATTTCATACAAAACCGGACTTATAAGCATTCTAATCGACAGAGCATACAAACTTAACAATACGAACAATGGCTTTCAACGAAACAAAAAAAACATCACATCCACTTTTTACGAGACTCTTTCCCACTACACTTTATTAACAGAGCCTTTAAAGGAATATCTTGACAACAAACAAAGCAACAACCTTAAAATTAGACACCAAAACTCCTGACACGACGATCACGACCAACACAAATGAAATTTCCAAAATAACAACTCTATACTTCAAACTACTATACATCGGACATTACTCACGACACACACAGAGCAGATTTACAAAAATTATGAAACGCTTCTGTACAGATATTGACATTCGATTAATTTCACATCATTCGAAATCAAAAACCTTTTCTCATTCAAAAACCCAATCCCAGATGCAATTAAATCAATAATGGTATATGAATTCAATGGCGCGGGATGTAATTCTCGATACATTAGCAAAACGTCGCGCCATTTCTCCACCAGAATTACACATACCACAACAGACAAATACTCTCATATCGACCGACTCCTTCTTAATTCTCACTCATTTAAAACCAACTATTCGCTCTCTTGCTTCAAAATCATCGACACTGCCGACACCTGATTCTCCTTTGAAATCAAAGAAGCACTCCACATTAACAAAACTAACCTTGACCTCAATGTTCAAGTTTTCAAATTCAATACAATATTTAGTTTATAATACGCTCGGACGCTCCCCATTAATTTATCTTATTTCCTTTTTATTGTCGTAATTTATGCATCATATTACTTTTGTATAAACCTTGTATTATTTATTATTTCACTTATACTGAAGATGGCATCATGAGATGTCGAAACATGTCTATTTTAAACATGGCGTAACATGTCGTTCGCAAACGCTAGGCGTCCAAATCGCAGAGTATTTTGTTTTTTTCGTTTTTAAACGTCATTTTGTTACTTCCTCATCAATTGTGAGTACAAAAATAAGAATAATTGACGAAGGTTTTAACAAAGCACAAGATGTAAAAAACCATTAATTTTTTGTGAAATACTACACCCGACCAGCTTAAGACCCAATTAGAGCGACATGTCTTTTGTCAACATAGAGTTTATCAGTTTGATATGTTTATACTTAAATGAAAAACAATGGCAAACTGTAAAGAGATCATTTCATTTCTTCTTCTCCAGTCGTTACTTATTAATTCCTACTTGTGCAACATCGTGAAACGAAAAGCACCAGAAGGAAAACTTTACGTATTTTCAAAAAGAGAAGGATGTGTGTTTGTACAAAGTGAAAGTCCTTGTACATTAAACTGGAAATTGAATCCATACATCGCCAAACTTTACACACAGAAGAACAAGGTCGTTTCACATGCACTCAATCTCTATACTCAACTTGGCATTTCATCTTTGTGCAGAGATGCTGTTAAAGAAGCCTTATGTTCACAATGGACCCCAAGATGTTCCGAAATCAATTACAGTCGAGATTATGGTGATGTTACAAGGCTGTGTAACAACGTTTACTCTCGTTGTCCATCAAATCTTGTAAATGAGTTTAAGAACCAAAAATTCTGCAAGACTCTTAAAAAGGGCAGACATTCAAACGATCAGTGTGTTGCGAATACTGCACCCATCAGTGGTGCTTGTCCGCAGCCAAAGTATAAGGTACGTCAACACAAATATATATTAAAAATAAACGATTTGCTGATCAACCCTTAAATTTTGATAGGATATTTCGATATAATAAAAGTATTCTTATGAGTTATTTATATTATAAGTCCCATACATGAAGTCTCATGTTGATAAATAAAGCCTCTTAAATATATTTGATTTAAAACAGAAAAATCATCGATCATCTGAAGTATTGCATTAATCTTGTCGTAATTTTTTACTGTAAGTAAATTATCTGGACGCGCCCTCAATTAGGCTGATGGAAACCGTATGTTCAGTAAATTATTATGATTTCTATTACGTTAACCTTTTTTTACTTCATATCGTGTTCTGTTATATGCAGTGAGTCAGTAACACGTCATCAATGCCAACTCCCTTTCTTTATGGTTTGTATGAAAAATTCAGGGCGCCAGAACTATCTTAAAAGGGCACATGGGGTGCTTAAAAGGAAAGTCAAAAATATAGAAAAAGGGCGTTGAAATTTGTCTGGACAATTTCTTTGTATTATATAATTAATTCCTGTAAACAAACTTAGGTTACAATTTAATTATGAAGCAGACAACTTTCTAGAAATTAGAAATTCAAAATTTCTATTGATCAGATCACAAATTTGAATGAAAGTAACTGGTGTGATTTTACCTAGACTACAAGAGTTTTAAGCTTTTTATTGCCTTCAATAAAATCCGTCACATTCAGTTGTAGAAATATAAACGCGTTGATTGACACCACAAGAATTCCGAGCAAACACACGGTAGTTTCCAATTTCAGCGTAATAGATCCTTGAATACTTAGGGTTAGTTAAAGTAGGTTGGGTGTCAAGTTAACCATGTTGATTACTCGAGTTAAAGCGACTTAAGTTCTGTCGGAGTTTTTTTCGCGCAAGTCATAATCACACACGCAGCCACTTTAACTTTTTGCCAACGAAAACAATTCGTGCTCACATCACTCGCATGTTATTCCTTTTAGATCATCACATTGGCGTTAAGTAGCTCATTCAATTTCAAGCTTTTTCGTACTAACGGCTCACTGATTTTTTGTACGTACTTTATCTCCCATTGTGAATGAACGCTTTGTGAACGTACTTGGTCAGAACTAAACGATCGTGTACATTTTCCATGAGCTCGAATACAACGAATCCTCTGTACAGTAGCGGATCGAAGACACCTCAGAATAAATCATATCTCCTCAATTTTAAATTCAAATTACATTCAGAAAAACACTATTGGTTTTTAATTTCTAAAGAATATAGTTTTACCTGTGAATTTACCTCTACGGTGTTTAGAAATTTAAATATTCGCCAAAATGCGACTCAGTAATTTATTTTGAGGTACTCTAAATCCCAGTCACTGCCTCTGTACTCATAGTTTTTGTACTTGATCTAGCTCATGTATTTTAAAATATTAACCACGTGCAAGTATAAAACTATCAAAGGTAATACTATCAGAATTGAGCTATTCGTGATGCACTACGGAAGATGAAGTGAATCATGCATATAAGCTAAACATGCATGACATTTTCTAATAAGAAAAGAAACAGTTGTTTTGCTTATATGTATCAACAATGCAAGAAGAATCAAGTCTAAGTCTAGTTAAACTAATTTAATGTCTTCTCAGAAAAAAGAAATTTGGAAATTGGCTCGTAATTCATATGAAAAAAACCGGTATAAAAGTAGAACAAATTAACCAACCATTGGCGTCAATCCTGTATTAATTTTTTTTTGGGAGGGGGGGCATATTCATACATTCTGCTGTGCCAGGCTAATTTCTTCTTAAAACAATTTCTGGTCCCCGCACTTAATTATTGCAGGGTTGACGCCAATGAAACCAGCAGTAATTCATGCATATTAAATTTCCTAAATGATGATTAAATCATGTAGTAAATTGATGCAAGATTCAGATCTTTCGTCAGTTTAATGGATTGAAAAGAATTCCATGTTCATCTAATGCAGTTGCTGCGTATATAAATCCAATTAACTTTTAAAAGTGTTTGATTTTCTTTCAAGGCATCCATTTGTCATTTGGCATGGCCAATAATGGTAGAAGTAGCTCATTGTTAGAAATTAGTTCAGTTATAAGCCTTAATTGTAAGATATTCTGAAAATATATACAATCTTGCTATTTCATTTGACCTAAGGGGCATTAAAATTCAGGGTGACATGTGTTCTGAAATGTTCGCATTAAATTTAAGTTCAAATTTGAAAATTGATGACAAAATTCAGACAGCCAAAAATAAAAAATTAGGTATCAGATAACAAAATAGATTTTGAACAGCTTTCTCCAGTCTTGTGTTTTTTCTCTGTATGGTTTTCTACTGTTGAAAAAACGTACATACTGGAAAAGTCACACACTAAGTGCTTCCACCGAAAATGCAACAGATATTTATGAGAAAGTTTAAAATGAGAGAAAAATATTTACATGTTATTGTTGCGAAAATTATGAGAATATCTGCAGTAAAGGTCAATAGGGTATTTGATTTGGCGTACGACAATATATTACTGTAGATAAAATTGTAGATAAAATTGGACAGTAGGTGAAGCAGCCATAGCAGACCAGTCCCCCTATTTAGGCAGTTATGGTACATCGTCCACGATCCCATCTCATAAATAGAGCAGTTGATGATAAAGACTTAGATGATATCCAAACTCAAGATTTAAAAATTTGTCTACATTATTTACGAATAATCATATTTTAAATTTACTTTCAGATGACATCGTGGCTCCTTGAGGAATATCGAAAAACTTCTGTAAGAATCCAGCCAACTTTGAGACGTCTTCGTAATCTACGATACGGTGATGGTGGAAGGATTTTTTCAGATTCATGTGTGTCACAAATGACTGAAATCGATTGTGCAGCAATTTATTGCTCAGCAAATGAAACTGAGCTCTTGGTAAAAATGGATAGTAATGATTGTCATCAGGTTGTCAGTGACTGGTAAGTTATGAAAATTTTTTTTACACGTTTGTCATGTATGAACGAATTTTTCCATCCATTATCATTCGAAGTTCGATCTACTCAGTACACATATCATTAATTGTTTCACGAAATCTGGGACTTGCTGACCGGGAAATGTTACAAGATGTTAAATAAGTTTTTATGCTGCTTACAACACTAATTTTTGATTATGATTAACGTAATTATGTTGTGCATAAAAAACTGTATTGCATTATTCACGGCTCGTTATACACGCATAGTGCCATATAGTACTGCACACTTTATTTAATTGTTATCTTTTGCAGTATCGACGAACCATTCAGAAGATTGTCAAAATCGACTAGTGCTTGGAATGTTTTGAATACTTTGAGAAATCAACTTAAAACAAATTGTGACACTTTTGCTGCGCCCTCATCCGACTTGAGACCTGAGCCTCCACGGATTTACAAGAAATCACCTACAAAAAAAAGTGCTGGAAACAGAGAGCACAAAGCCATTGGAATCCTCCCTTCGTCTTTTTGCACTTATGAAAATGCTTTTAATTGCTTGAACTCGAGATGAACCAAACTTTTTTTATATTCGTATATAATCCAAAAAACTTCACATATAGTTGATGCAGTATAGTAATACTTGGTGTTAGGCTGAAGTATACTTGCATGATTTTTAATTTTACAGTTATTAGCTATTTTGCAAGGTTCTTCTTCATGATGATTGTATTTGTTGTTTTCACGTCTTAAATGAACTTATAATAACAAACATAAGAGTAAGAATATTGATGTCTTCTTCTGCCAAGTGAAAATATGTGTCTGTAAAAGGTACAAATCCTTGTACATTGAACTGGACATTGAATGAAAACGTAGCAAAAGTTTATGAACAACAAGATGCGAACCATCTCAATCTTTATGCTTAGTTATAAACAATTTTTCATACAGTTTAAAAGGTAAAGTACTTCAGTATTTATGAAGAAGTATATAAAACTGCTAAAAACAGCTTGAGAGATATAGCAATAACTTTAGTCAAGGACACGTATAAGTGTTTGCATGCACTTCATTTACTGAAATAAATCTCAACTATTTTTGGGTAAAATGAACATGATAAACATCATGGTATATGTGCCAATTCTTCGATTCGGGACAAGAATAACTTCAGAAAAAATAGAAATAATCTTTCTGAAGTGTTTAACATGTCTAAAAGGTTTACTTTTAGGAATGGTCATAGAAGAGAAAATTTGCATAAAATCAATAATTACCAAGAGAATTACCATATATGCACATTCTCTAATCAAATGAAATTTTGTATGAATTGACAAATATTCTTAAATTTTCAGATTTTCAGGAAAAATAATAAGAGATGAAAAAGAAGACTGTCTTCGAATAATAAGAAGAATACAAAATTTCTATTATCTTTCTAAAATATTGTATTGAATTTATAAACTTGAGATTGAGGTCAGAGTTAGTTTTGTTAATGCAGAGTGCTTCTTTGATTTTAAGGGAGAATGAGGTGTCGGCAGTGTCAATGATTTTGAAGCAGAAGGGTGAATAGTTGGTTTTACATGAGTGAGATTTAGGAAGGAGTCGGTAGATATGAGAGTTTTTGTCTGTTGTGGTATGTTCCCTAATTCTGCTGGATAAATGGCGCGATGTTTCGCAAATGTATCGGGCATTACATCCCGCGCAATATACCACCATTAATTTAATTGCATCAGGGATTGCGTTTTAGAATGAGAAAAGTTTTTTTATTTTGAATGATGTGAAAATTTGTCGAAGAATGGGCAACTCTCGAGAATGTGCAACCCTCGACCTTCGGTCTCGCGCTTGCACTGATCTGCTCTAGGTTCTCCAAAAGGTCTCCGAGGATTGCGAAAGCATGTGCAAAAACACAGTAAACATCTTTTATTTATTCCAAAAATTGACCTCCGTCCCAATGTCTTCGGAACACGAAAAATAATCACAATCACAACTTTGAGTTCTTAAACAATTTTTTGTTGTTACTCCTAAAAGTATCTCGCTTCTCTCGCTTGTCTCGCCCCCTCTCACTTCCGTTCTCTGCTCTCTCTTCTTCCGTTCCACCCATGTTTTCTACATTGTTCCTTATCGTCCCCAACGTACCTGAATGTAGAATTGAAACCCAACACAACTTTAACATAATTTGTAACACCCTCCCCCACATGTGACTACGAATGAGTCACATGTTATATCACTTTGTCTCGAAGTTTATTTCATTCCTGTTCCATTAGCGCCTGATTTAACGCGTCCGCAACCACAGCAGCTTGTCATCTTGGTCTGAATTCTTTGGCGTTCACTCGCAACTCCTTTTGATGGTTGCTGACGTCGCATTGTAATTCTAAAGGATAGATCAGTTGGATTGGTCTCTTAAGAAATATTTTTCCACACTGAAGTTTGAAACCTCTCACAACTCGACTTTATACTTAATCGGACCGGCGAAATCGACACCAATGACTTTACACGGTGTGGTTCCTTTTGTTCGAGTTTTCGGTAAAGGAGCAGGTACTGGAGCTTGATACGGTTTGGTCGTGAATCTCTTGCATCTGTAGCATCTCTTCTTTTGCCTTTTGACTAGTCGACGAAGCCGAGGAACCCAATACCTTTCAGGATCTTTGCCATTGTAAGTATAACTCCCCCATGGAGTGTTTCCAAGTGTGCATTTCCCACTAACTTCACTGTGAATAGAGCGTCATCAGGCAAGTAAATAGGGAACTCTCCTTGTATCCGACCGTGACATCTTAAAATCTTGTCATCGTCGGAATGTACATTTAACTGAATCAGATCAGTTTGAGACTTTGGGTTTTCTGCGACTCCAGCTTGTACCATTTTTATCCATGACATGTGTTGCTCTTCCACTTTTTCAGATGTCAGTGGCCCGTGCCTTATATTATCTCTGTTTTGTCGAGCATTATCAATAAATCGTTTCACCCACGCCCCAATACGAATCGCCTTTCGCAATGAATGTCTTCAAGAACATCACTTAGTATTGCAAAGTTTGACCGCTGGATAGCCGTGCTCAAAACTACTCTCGTTGCCTTTGCTTCACTTTGGGAGTCAATCGACGGTTTGATTGTAAAATCTGGTGGCCAGAGACTACGCTCTGATAGCCAGGCAGGACCTTTCATCCACATCTCGGTCAGTTTGCCACCTCTGCTTCCGAGGTCGGCCGAATTGTCGGTTGTTGGCTTATGGTGCCACACGATCTTATTAGCAGCTCGAATTTTTTGCCACTCTATGGGACACGAATTGTTTATAATCACCCTCTCCTTTAATCCAATATAAAGCTACAGTACTATCTGACCAGCATTGTTTCCTGTGTGGAATGTGCCTCAGTGCATTGCTAGCATTCGAGACCAAATTTGCGGCCATATCACTTGCAACCAGCTCTAACCTCGGGATAGTCTTCCTCTCTTGGCAAGTCTTGATTTCGCTGCCAGTAATTCCTGAGTAACTCTAGATGGTTTAGCGACCGTGTAGACGACTGCGCACAAACCTTCACCACTGGCATCCCCAAATCCATGAATCTCTAAGCTACAGGGTTCTTGGAATGAAAGAACAGATAAGGTGTTTTCCCACTTTTCCCAGCTCTGCTTCAATTTACCAATCAATTCCGCGTCCCAAGGTAATTTCAGATCACACACCTCTCGATAGATTTATTTGTTTTGCAAAAGCAGAGGGGATGCAATTCCCATTGGATCATAAATCTTCGCCAGTCGACTTAAAATGTTGCGCTTTGTTGGCAATTTCCCACAATGTTCTATTTGTACACTTAACGTATCTTTCTCTTTATTCCACGTTGTACCCAGGATCTTCGTCTCAGTTGGCTGCACCCCAAATTGTTGTTTGGCCTCTGTTTGCTCTTCATGATTTTTGTTAACACTGCCTTCATCCAACTCCTTTGCATTTGATGCCCACTTATGAAGGATAAAGGTTGCGTCACCCAGATTATCGATAGCTTTCAATTTCTTTTTTCGTGCTTCATCCACAGTGCATCCTCCTGAAATGATGTCATCAACGTACAGACACCTTCTTAGAGCCTTGAATGCGTCTGTATCTTTGCTTTTCTAGTGATCGAAATGGGTTTCGAGAACTCCCCCAAGTAGGATTGGAAGAGAAACCGATCCAAACAATACTCTCGTGAACCGTAGTACTTCTACATCAGCCTGTGGATTTGGCCGCCAGTGAAATCTTAAAGAATCCCGTTCACTTTCGCGTACACGAATTTGGAGAAATGCGTTTTGAATATCCCCAGTGATTGCAACAGGGAAACTTCGCGCTCTTACCAGCACTTCCCACAGCTTTCTATTTAGCGTAGTTCCCGCGTACAGGCATTCGTTTAAAGAAGGACTTTCTGGTGAAGCTTTTGCTGATGCATCGTACACCATTCTCAGTTTAGTGGACTGCACTGACTCGCGTACGACTTCTTTGTGAGGTATGTAGAATTCATTACCTTTTGCTACGTTAGTTGCTGGTTCAAGTATGCCATTGTGCTTTTGGTCATGGATTACTGCGTTGTAATCTTCAGTCAATTTCTTTCGCTGTAATCGTCGCTCTAAAGATTCCAACAATCTGATGCTTCCTGTTTTGTTCGATGGGAGAAGTGGATGATTTTCGCGCCATGGAAGACCGGTCTCATACCAGCTCTCCGGGATCGCGTTAATTGCTGTTTGAATTTGTTATACACCATTGATTGGTCGTGTTCAGCAGTGTCTGCTAGGCGCAGCACATCCAACCTGCAGAGATCTTCATAATCCTTCTGCGAAATTTAGGTAAGCGACATCCTTTTACTGTTTGGTTCCACGTCAGGGCTCAAGGCAAACTATCCGAGTTTTGTTTTTCTGCAATTGGTTGCCCCTCAGTTCCCACTAGTGGATTCGTGCGAGTTTTTTTCCGTGCATATTCCCCGCTTCCCAAACGATATGGACAGGTAATTGAGCTTTCTGATCATTATCAACAAATTTTGCATTCTTCAGGTGTTCAAACTCTCTTTGTAAGTTTTCATAGGTGGATTGTCCACTGTGAGTAGCTCTTCTTTCTCCATCTTGATCAACTTCACCTTCATTGAATAATCACTGTCTATTGCTTCAACTTCCCCTTCATAGATTTCCAGTCTTGTTGTTTTTGATGTTAAAAGCATGTGAACTTTAGTAGTTTGTGTCTCAATTGGTTTCATCCTCAGCATAGATGCAAGTCTACCAGATATGTATGACCTTCCAGCCCCTGAGTCGATCAATGCACGACATGTAATTCCATTTATATTGACAACAAGAACTGGGAAAATTCCTTCACCAGTAGATCCATCTGTAGTCAACACAGTCTGACCTGTTTTTAGTGGTTCTTCTTGATTGGTGACATCACATATGCTCGTATGGTGTCGTTTGAGGCAATTTCTGCATGATGACTTGCTGGGGCAAGCGTTAGCATGATGCTGTCCTGCTGTACAGTTGAAACAAAGTTTCTTCTTGACTAAAATTGCTCTTCTCTCCTTGACAGTACTGATACTTTACATTCCCCCGACTTATGATTTCCCTCACAGTAGACGCACACTCCCTTTTCTTTGGTATGAAAGACTTTCTAGATTTCCATCCAGGTGTGTCTGACTCTTTCTCACAGACTGGATTTCGCCTGGTCCACTGTCTGACTACTTCAGTAAGCTTGGAAAAGTCCCAACTTTCCCATTGTGGATCATATCTAACAAGGTGGGGACCTTACGGCTGGGAGTTTTTCTAGAGTCATGGAAACATTTCCTTGGACATCTTTCA